CATAAATTAGTTTTAATTTAAAAAACATAACGTATGATTTTGCCTGAATAAAACAAACTTATGAAGACTGTCTTTGATTCCTTCAGAGAGAACGAAAATATACCATCCATTGACTAATTGGTGGAATTCAGAGATACATGTTTTAATATAGGTTTATTACAAAACTTATAATATAACCCTCCCTTAGCACTTGAGATCACCCCGGTTTTTTTATGGGTCCGTGTTGCTCAATCTTTAGTTTTCTTTGTTGTGTTTTGTGTACTGTTTATTTGTTCGTCGTTTTCGTTTTTTGCCATGGCATTGTCAGTTTGTTTTCGTCTTATGAGTTTGTATATCCCTTTGGTATCTTTCGCCTCTCTTATAAAGCTATATGTTGACCTCCAGTTGTCTGTTTCGTTAACTTGTATTTTTAAAATGGTACTCTACCATGTTACATGTATTTGCCATCATGTTTCTGTAGGTAGCATTGAAGTACATTTTGAGAAATATTACATCAATGATATGTTGACAAATCTAAGAATGCTCAAATTGACAAAATATTATAGATGTAACTACCACACATAAAGGATATGTATACAAACAACTACACCATATGTGCGATGGCTATAAAAGAATCTAATATTTTTGGCAAACATTTAATGAAAATTTGATTTAGATTTAAAGACAATAAATCATTTAAATGAATAAGTATCCACTATACAATCTAAATAGAGTTTGGCAAGAATACTGTTGATTTGGCACATCGCATAAAACAAATTTCAAAATTTTGTTTTGGTCAAATTATACAAATCCGTCGTCCATTTGTGGTTGCAAGGGAAACGACTCTGTCCGACCTCTTTTATATTGCTTGTCGTGTGTCTGTTCAGCTCTTCTTTTCCCGTTGTTGTTCATATGATCAACTTTATCAGATATACAAGGGAATGTGATATCTCCTGCTACAGGAATAAATCCTCGACTACTTGTTGAACAGTCATAATAACCATAAGATCCACAATCAAACCCTTGAGGGCGAACTGTAGCAAACTGTCCATAAAAATTCTGGTCTTGTCTACAAGCAACGTATAATTTGAAATATTAGTGCTTCTAAAATCATGAAGGATGAGTTGGCATTCAAGTAATAAGTGTTATCTTGTGAAGTAAGATCTTAATTTTAACTTGTTAATTACTAATTTTTGTAGCTCCTATTTGAATTAATACCTCGTATTATAAGATAAAATGGAAAACTTTTTTCATTTCTGTGATAAAAGACCATGATAAAGCACAATTGAAGATTAAGCAACGTATTTTATGACTGCGTATTATTCAGTATTAAAGGATATCCTGTCTAGATAAAGTGGGAAAATAAAAAACTATATAAAATTATTAACAATGATATCTTACTGTCTTGAAATTGCCGTGAACTCTTGTTGGTTTCCAGCATATACTTGTGTAGGCCAGTCGCACATTGGCCCAGGTAGTCTGTTCATGTCTGACGTCACAATACTAGCAGGAATGGATGATGAACACGGGTGATATATTGATGTTGGCATCTAAAATATAAATAGAAATTTGCATAATTATGTACAGAGTACTTGTAACAAAGTAATTTGTTCTTCTTTGGAGTCGCTAGCAGACAAAATCTCTGAAGTTTACAAGTAAAACGATATCAAAACGCGTATGGTTTAAAAGTCAAATTAGTATATTTTACTACCGAACATTTTCTTGTTACATCAGATTACGCTTGAGGAAAAAAATAATAAGTCACTCGCTTGTTTTGTGTACCAAATTTCTAAAGAACGAACAATGAAATATTTCATCATCAACATTTCATTAGAAAATCATTAATATCAGAAACATTTTAGTGCATTATAAAACTACTTATAAGACAGTCAATTTGCGTAACTGTTAATGTTATATTAGTTAATTTAAACTAATCTCCGCTTACACCATATCTATATAACCTTAAAATATTATTTTGATGTTTGACTTCGCTCTTACCTGAATAAATTAAATAACAAAGAATAGTCCCGGGAAACAAATGAAGTTTTTTTTTGATTCACACTTTATTTACTTCGCTTTTACCTGAAGAAATTAAATAACAAAGAATAGTCCCTGGAAACCAAAAAAAAACAAAAGAAGTTACCTTCGGAATTGCCAAATAAAATAATTGTTCTTTTAACATGAAAGACAAAAAAAATGATGTGCACATCGCTAAAAAATATCGAAAACATATTTGTATGCAGAAAAACTAAAATATCAGCATTTTAAATGGACTGAGGTAAATACAATTCAGAAATTTCCACGATAAATATCCCTTTGTTTGCATTCATCAATACCTGCTGTGGTCGGCTTCCAACATTAAAACATGAATTGTCTTGTTGAGATGACGCATGTGGAACAATAGCACAAACTGTTCCTATGTGAGACCTGTAGGTATTGAAAAATATTTTGAATGGTAATTACATATATAAAAAAAAAGCACATGTGCTATTTTTAATATATACAAATATTTGTAAATGGGTAGATAACCATTGATACAGTGAACCTTTTAAAGTATGCACAAATTAACTTTTCTGAAAAAGCATCTCCTATATTCAACAGTAAAGTTTGTGTTGCTCAATCTTTCTTTCGAGGTGTTTATTGGCTGGCGAGTGATTTTGTGTACGTCTATATTTATTTACCTTTCTCTAATTGCGTTTTAAATTCAACGTGTCTTAACGTCCTTTGTTATCTTTTTATCTTTTCTATCAAGAAAAGCAGTTTATAGAGTAAATTATACCATTGCACTCATATGTTTTGCTGCAAGTGGTGTCTTGCTAGATAAGAGAAAGTATGATAAGGCAATTGTTTGGCCCCTTGAATTCGAAAATTAAAAAAATATTACAAATCTTCCAAATAACATCCTTCAGATGGTCATTAGACATAAGTCTGTCTGACATCAGTAATTTTTTTCAATTTTGATAAACATATTTCTATTAGGGCTTCAAACTTCTAACATTAAGCGCTAAACAGTAAAAACTGTCTAAGTTTAATTTTTAGATTGTGTCTTCAAACTCTAGATATGAAGTGCGGCTTTACACAGAAAGTTACTTCAGCTTCAAAGTGTATTTAACAAAGATTTTAATATCTGTAAAATATATTTTTGGTATTGCTGTTGCTCATATATGTTTTGAACCAAAACTATGGGTAAAATAATCATTTTAGGTCAAACACTTAAATTTCAACATGTTTATGACGTCATAGTGACATCAAAGGTGATTTTTCTGAACTTAATTGTCCAGATTATAATAACATTCGTTCGTATTTTTGTGTTCTTTGAGTTCTATTTTTTTATTGTTTCTTATTGCATGCCAACTTGGTATCTTCTTCCCTTTTTTCTCACTTATTCATACAGTACTTACGGCATTGAAGAAGTCGAATGTAATTCAGACAAGTTGTAGGCATCTTGAGATGGTCTTGTGGAGGTATCCCCTGCTGAAGATGAAATACCTCTTGATATATTTAGAGTTTTGTCCTGCAGTATTGTATCCGTAGTGTATATTGGGCTTAAACCTAAAAATATTACACAATTTACCATAATTTTCACCTCGAATCAACAGGTTTGTAAACAAAATAACAGTTATGGAGTAATTGGAATTTCATTTTGTTTTACTTCTAAAGACTTCACAGAGTTTATTGTTTGTTACATATTTATTTTCGTATGCTTTTGATTTTAAAGAGAATTAAGAATTCGTTTCAACACCTATTAATCTAACATGACAGACATTGACATTTAATTTAGTTTATTCCGACAATGAATAACCGCACTTTTAGTTTTAGTTAGTTTTTTTAATAAATGGCATTCTATTTCAATAGTATTATCAAACACATCACGCTTTATGGTTTTTCTACGGTGAATGAAGCTTATCAAGCAGACTTTGGTGTTAAGCATAAAACATTTAATGAACAATAATACACTCAAACGTCATGTGGTATACATGAAATAAAATGCAGATTCAGGAAAAATGTTACGTCATCTTATACTGTGACTTTGAAATGAAGAACAGCAATAAAAGCGCTGTTCCTTTGCTTTTTTGTGTGTTTTTTGCTGTGCATGTAAGGATTTTGTGTCATTTATGGATACCCCATGTCCTTTGTTTTTCTATTAATACTTGAATCTCGATTCCTCGAGTTAAGTTGTAATAACAGTTTAGATTCTATTTTTCAATCTTAATATACCTATGATATTTCTAGTATTCGTAATGACGGAATTGCGTTCCAATTGATTCTGTTTAGAAGATGCAGTTGGGGAAAATGCTGATCTTGTAGAAGTAAACAAATCTTTTATAACACTTGAATCTGGTAAAACAATGTCTTCCTTACTTGCTTAAAACAACACATCAAAATAGAATAGACATGCAAAAATAAATATAACAGAAAAATAAAAACATGAAATAAAAAAAAACATGAAATTAATAATCATGTTAAATAACAAAGACAGATAAGAACACAAAATAATATAATTTATTGAAACAAATGTGCCTGTTCATAGCATGTTACCAGTTATACATGCAAATAATTAGCTTTGCTTTCATTTGTTATATCGATGGACCATACGCTTCCATACTCTGATAGCAATTACTCATTGATATTTACGCCAGCTGTCACACGCCTTAAACAACTGTTTTTGTGAGTTATCTATATGATATATTTTATCCTTATAGTTTATAGAGTAACCCCTCACTTGTTATTCTATGCGACTGTTATACAAGTGAGAGGTTTAGCTAGCTATAAAACCAGGTTTAATCCACCATTTTCTACATAAGGAAATGTCTGTACCAAGTCAGTAATATGACAGTTGTTTCCATTCGTTTGATGTGTTTGAGCTTTTGATTTTGCCATTTGATAAGGGAATTTCCGTTTTCCTTGGAGTTCGGTTTTTTTGTTATTTTACTTTTTGTTATGCTGCACTGCTACTTATAGATATAGATACCGTTTTGTTATCTATATAGAAGTAAGTGATTGTAATCGTTTTATCACAATCAGTCTTTTTTTTCTGTACAAGAGAGTTCATGGTAACTTATTTTAATTTTTGTCGTGCCATATAAATTGTTCGGGCTATTTTTTCAGCCTATCATTAATTATATAGCTCAAAAATTGGTAGCTTTCCAAAATTGCCTGTGAGCGTTTTCTATGAAGCACAATCTAGAGATATCTTCGAACGTACCAAATTTGGAAGATTTCACATTTAAAATTCAAACTGAGTAGAAGTTTGTAACACAAATGAATGCACGATTAAGAAATAAGATAAACAAATCATAATAGCACAGAAACAAAATGAAATAGAAAAAACTATAATAAATGTTCCAAATTTATTAACTTAAAGTACGAAACAGCTACAAAAATATGACTTTAACCTACCATCCTTTTCATCCCCTTTGACAATTCTTAGAAACTCATTTGCGCGTTCCTGACTGTGTAGGCTCTCCACCAAATATAAAACATAGTCATCAAACATCAGATGCATCAGATGAAAGGATCCTGAAATAATGTTGAAAATATGCCATATCACCTCTATACATATTATAATGCATCTGAATATTGTTTAAGCATGTCTGATCGTGAAAAAAAATCATATAAAAGTTAAATAATATTATTCTATTTGAAATTTTACAGTTACTGATAGAATATCAGTCTAGTAGGCCTTTTGGAAATCATTGTAAAATAACCTGTACCTTACAACAAATATTCAATGTCAATGTCGTGTGTTCGTGCTGTATTTCAGTCACGTAGCGTTTTAACGATATTTTTAACATTGTCATAGAGCGGGAGGTTTGGCATACCATAAAACAAGGTTCAACCCACCATTATTTCTTAAAATGTACTGTACCAAGTCAGGAATATGGCAGTTGTTATCAAATAGATCGTTTCTATGTGTGTTGGCCGTTGTTTTTGTTGCACTTCGGTGTTCCTGTTGTTCATTTGTTTTCCTCTTATAGTTGATGTGTTTCCCTCGGTTTTGGTTTGTTACCCAGATTTGTTTTCTCTCAATCGATTTATGACTTTTGAACACCGGTATACTACTGTTGCCTTTATTTATCAATAAATATCTTGATATTTATGTAACTGTTTCATTTCATAATAATCGCCAGAATTCAATGAGAAGATCAGAAACTAATATTAAAAATACTATACCAAAACTAGGTGAGCTGTGCAGCGTCATATCTCTTATAATTCTCGTCCCAAAGCAAGACCACATAAGCAAAAACTGTCGGGCGATTCTTCGTAATGTTCCACATTTCTTCATGCTTGGCTTCAAGATAAGATTGTCAAATAAGTGATATAATTGCTTTTTTTTGTAAAAACATAGATAAAAAAAGGTCCTCGGGGCTTTACTATCTTACTATTTTGAATTGCCTTCCATATTGTTTGTCACTACAATGTACGAGGATAATTAAAAAAAAACACATTTTTATGTTACACCACACGGACTTCATTAACAGGGATTTGATCCTTACACAAAAACTCGCTTAACAAGAGTTATGAGGAAAAACGACTTAAATCAAAACTGCAAAAGATTTACGGTCAGAATTACGAATGGGAATACCGAAAAGATGTAACTGTGTCTCAACTCATAAGCGACATGTTTTCTCTGGGTTGAATCTGTAGATATCATAATAGTCGTCTGATCTGTAATTTTTCCGATTGTGTCCCATTCCCGAATGAGACATTTTGACTGAGTGTGGATTCGCATGGCGGATGATGTATTTATAGCAGGAGACACTGACACTGTCGACGCACCTTTTGAAGATATACGATGTTCTCAGTGTGTTATCTTGGTGTGAACCTTCTTAATCGATCTATGAGAATTATACATCGGTAAACTACTTTTGACCAAATTTATGATTTGATGCGTTTATTTCGTATTACGAAACATACCGCAATTGGATCTCCATGTGTTGTTTTTTTTCGTGATGATTTAGTTGCTGTCTCATTATTATCGTATATCTTTTCAACCATAGATAACATTAAAATAACGAAGAATTACTTGAAAACGGTCATAATGAACATACTTGTATATTTGGTACAGGCGTGATTTACATGACTCATTTCGACTGTTTGAATTGATTTAGAATTGATGAAACTGTACTTAAACTATGTTTCCAATTTCTCAGGTAATGTTGAACTTTCATGTTTGGCTGTTTTGTTTAGACGATTTCAATTTAATGCTCTCTTATGTGTTAATTTGGAAACATTTGTTCGTGTGCGTCCCGAATGAAAGTAATTTCAAACACGTTCCGCGTGCACTGAAATCAGTGTGATTTTGTATTATCCAATAATCTTTTTTTTTTAAATGTAACTTGAAAACCATATTGGAAAAGTTATAAATTTGGTTTATTGAATTAGAATTAAAAAATATTTACAATCATTAACTCTGGCACGATTGGTTCAATCTTTTGTATAAAAAAAAGTGGAAAATAAGGTTAACAAAGAAACTGTGAATTATACCTTGACTACACAACGATCTACCATACTATCTAACCATTCAACGTACGATTCTAGTGGTGCCTGGTCTTCCAGCAGTTTCTCAAATTCTGAACACACTGTGAATAAGATAATGATAAAAGAAATGTTTATATATTTTGACGGCCCACATTTATTTGGTGATCACAATGTCAGGGATGTCTATATAGTTTGCAATCAGACATTGTATATGGTGAAGGGAAACTGTAACATGTTTTTTCAACTCTTATTTTACTAAATTCGTAAATTATTATCACAAACGTGTTGACATTTTGAAACATATATATGCATCTAGAGATATTAAAATATACAATATAAATATATGTTTCATGGATGACAGTGTTGCATGTATTAATTTTTTTCAAATATTAATAAAACATTTATTGATGAAAATATTGTATTCAGTTTAACTTTAATCATATGTATAGTGTTTAGCAATATACATGGCTGACAAAGGTTGTTTCGTATGTATAAATATATATCACAAAACCTAAAAAGTAGGCTATTTGGCGTTTTCAAGGAAGACAAAACTTAAATAAACTTATGTTTTGAAAACAATCTGAAATATGTTCCTTGAAAAGGTCTTTTGATTTTCAAATGCAAGGGGACAAAATAGTCGTATCATACCTTCTTCTTTAAAATGATATTTTAGAGAAACGGAAACATACAAGATTTTATTTTTAAGACGTTTTTACAAAATGTCAGAACTGAAAACTTGTTCTTAAATTCAATCTTTGATTTGAAAAAGGAAGATAACTAGTACAAAAATATATCTAATTTAGGAACCAATAATTATGCTGAAAACTAATAATATGCAAACCAAACAATGTTTACACATTTTGTGAAAGATTAAAGCAAAGGAGGATGGGTTCATCCATATTTTATTTCCAGAACTTTTTGGTAAAGGCAAACTCTATCCCGAAGAATTATCAATTCTATCGATGACTGTTTTTTTTTTTATTTTTATTTGTACGAGAAGAATTATTTCTCTTTTTTATGTAAGATGTTTCAAATGATGTTTAGAATTCCATATTTCTGTAATATATGTTATACCATGTTTTTGAATGTATACATTTCTACGTTCAGGAAAATTTTATAAATTTCACAATGCATAAATTCTATTATCTATTTGACCTTAAAAGGTGTCATGGTCCAAATAAGTACATTATGGAAAACGTTGTGATATTATCTATATGAAAGAGTCAAAGGTTCATAAGCAGCACCAACTGCGATAAGAAGTATTAGTACACTTACACTGTACGATAATTTGATGATCATTTTCACTGTAATTGTCCATTGTGTACAATGTTTGTTTAATAATACTGTTTCTATCGACATTCAGCCAATCATCGAGCATCTGTGACGTTATTTCCGAACTATGGACTACAGTACGAGATGCTTGGCATAAATGGTTCAATGACGTTTGTCGTCGAAGAACCTGGGCAAATCTTCTTGCTACTGTAATACATAAATTACAACCTTTATTATCAAAACCTGTCAGCTTACAAAATTAAGTCAATGTACCAGTATATTAATCATGAGAGTTAAACGTACTTTTAAAACTATTATATTGTTATAAAAATCATGTCTTGCTAAACGTGTATATTTTACATAATAGCAATAGTAGTGTTTGAAATTGACCACGATTTATTAAAGAGGTTTGAATAAATTCTCAAGTTAATATTTTTTTAATCATTACAAAAACTAAAAGTTTACTCCACTACGCCAAGTTGACTTTGCTAAACTTTCGCTATTCTTTTTTTTTTTGGAAAGCTTGAGGTAACATAACCCTCTATAATTTAAAATAAAATCCAGGAGTTTGTCTCAGAAAGCGAGTTTAAATTTTGATAAATGTGCATCGCATGCCGCAAACTGTACGTATCGCTGTTGAATTAGTAATTGTATTATTCCAGTTTGAATGATACTCTACATGTACAATTGAACATACTCCAGTTTGAATGCCTTCGAAGCCTTTCCGTACAATTGGACATGTATGCACGCAACGAAGAAAAATTCAAGATGTGTAAGAAGTGAAACAGTTGAGGATCTATATGACCAAAAAGGACTTAAAATTAATAGCCAAATCAATATAAGGTCCAATTTGCCTTTATTTATCAAAAATGATAATAAAAAATGTGAAACATACAGTCGAATTTTATTTTCTGCAAACCACAAGGAAGTGCGTCTAGCGCAATTATCAACCATTCATCTAGCTGTTTGGCAAAGCGCCGTATCACTTGTGTTAAACTGTAAACAAATAGATTAATAAACATAATGATATCATTGACGAAAGAATACGAATGTGCACATCAAACCTCAAATTTACAAATATTCTTTAAAAGACTTTAAAGGATTAAGTTTCGCTCCTATAATAAAATTGAAAAGAGGAAACGATGAACGTACTAAGTACCACGTTCCAGTTGATATAGTTAATCCCAAAAGATGCATTAAAAACATGCATTTTTAATATTGCAAATTATAAGTATGTAGACGTATCTGTTTATTACCTTTCTGGTAGTGGTTGTAGAACTGTTGGCATCAACACATTTGCAATTGCTTTATATAAGATGGAATCACATACACCAACCAACAATACTATTGTCTGAGAATCCAAGATTGGTATAATATGCTGTGGCATTCCTTGCCAGAAATGTAAGAGGAAACTTTGCACCTGAAAGAAAAGAAAAAGGGTAATAAAAACCGTAATATCTCATTCATTTTAGTAACTAAAAAAGGATTTTGATATTTGAGGAATGCGCTTCACAAAGTACAGGATATTATTACAGACTCGGTTCCCTTACTAGTAGCTCGTAATGACAGGATTGTTGGATACAGTCATATGGTTGTTTTACCTCAAATGGGAGAGTTCTTGTAAAAGTTAGCTTTTAAAAAAGCTTTTTATACTCGGGTTTACTTTACCTCATCAAAATTAGCACGTATGACGGTATCAAGTATTCTCTGGCAATGAGTTCTGTACATCATCATAAATGTAATCACCTGAAATCAAATTAAGTTTGTTAAATCATTGCTTTCTTCTCGCAAGGACAACTAAAATGACCAATTATGATGACAAAAGTCTATAACGCTCCTTTTTTGCATGTTTTGCAAGACTCTTTTTAAAAACATCGAATATAAATACATATATAGCTCCTCCATATGGCATTTTGACAGACAACATTTCTCACGATCACCAAAATATCCTCCTCAAGAAATAAAAATTACATGTATCTTCCCTCTTCGCTCTGTTTTTTTTAATCCATATGAACTGATTTAATGTTTTAATTCATCGGGTCAATAAAACGCCATTTAAACATTAATCAGCAGTCGTACATCAATTTTTTTCAAAGTAAGTAAAAGTAAATGATATTCAGGAAATTGTTTCAATCATGACCAATACTACTCACAAAATATCGTATGAAATCACTAAAAATGTACCTTGTCTTCTTGAATATTTGTTGGAAGTTTGATATCTTTGATATCAGGAAACTCTGGTAACAATGTGCCGAGTTTGGATCTTGGCGAATATGCCACTATCTGAAATATGTTTTAAATCATTTACTTGTATATCGTGTTTTCCTGGGAAATTTCTGTTGTTACAACAGTCATACATTAGTTTACATGTTGACAAGATAAATAATGCATTACAGTACAGATGAGAGGAGTAATATACCTAACAATTTGCAAAAGTACAAAATGTTTATGTTCTTCCATCATGTTATTAAAGATGAACCATTATAATTAATATCTAAGGTATACTTTATCATTTATAGAACAAATCATAATATGTGTACATGTTAAATCAAGTCTCTTAGTAAACTTGCAACACTGTAGGGATCTTGGTCTATCATTAGACCTACTGTAGATATTCAAATTACAAATGCTTTGATAGACACTTGTCTCAATGTCAATCATTCAACTTCCAATTTTTATATACTAAATTTTCTTTTGTATACTAATCTTAATGCAGTTTCATCCACGAATTCATCGCTTCTTTTACATTTGATTCGTTCTCTTTAATGAGATAACTTTATCTTACTATATAGTTAACTATAAATTGTTGTTTGTAGACCAACATTAAATTACATTTACCTGTTTCGAGTTTTCTTTTTTCCCTTCAGATGAACTATAATTGAAAACAAACACATGATGGGGTAACAGAAGTGGTTTTTTTTCCTTAATTTTGCATTTTCAGTTACCTTATTTATATATATACATATCTATTTCATTAATTAATTTCCAATAAGTTCGATCACTACAATAAAACATAAATCATTAAAAGACCAACATTCAATTAAAAACTCTACTTTTTAAAAAGGTTCCTTGGTCATCATATAAATGCATGCAATGTAGTAATTTTAAAATGGTTTCACATAAAGAGAGCAAATGCATTAAACGTTTGTAACACTAAAAAAAAAAAAGGAATGAGATGTTTATTTTTATTACACATTTGATTATTTCTGTTTTTACAAGGTGATTTATATGGAGAATGTATTCTATTTTATACTCACTTTTGTACACCTTTAGCAGAATATATGACATCATAATACTTAGAGGACTCACAAACACCTATTCCATAGTAATGATACCTTAAATATAAAAAGAGTAATGCATATATAATCTTGTCGGATATTTTTCATAATATACGGTTAGAAAAATCCAATCTACAATGTATGTCACTGATTGAATTATAGTAAAATTTCATTCCACTACATTACGTTTTAGCAATGAACAATCAACCAATTAATCATTTAATCATTCCATTGGCAATACAAAATAATCAACTACATGTATTTTTTTTTTTTTTTATTAAATTGTAGGACATTCTACCTGACTATAGACGTTTTTGTAAAATGTCAAGAGCTCATCGTATTGAGCTAGACGAGTATTGAAGAACCTTAAAGCAGATCAAAGCTTTATGCTACTTATTCTATTGAATTGGCATGCACTGATGTCGTCCTGGAAATCCATGCAAATTGTGCACTTGGCATAACGTTATGTAACAAACAATAAAGTAATTATTTGATATTAGAAAGTTTATAGCCTTTAAAAGTGAAAGCTGAATGCTATCTAAACTGAACCCTTTTGTACTTAATATTTATTATGATTAGTTATGTGTTTGATTAAAATGGGTTCAGTTACTAAAATAGTCACTCTAAATTGTTTTCACAAGACTTCAGTCTGCTCAGGTTCTCTATTAACGATTACGGTTATTCTGTTTAGGCCCTTTTTGGTTTTGATACTCTGGATGTCTTATGTATTTGACCTTCCAAACGTTTGATCTCGACCTTGGCTCATGAAGGTTATTCCAGAAACATGTGTGGTGTGCAAGGACATTTGTAACATGTATATTACTATATGTTCCACGTGGTCAGTGTCGCTTCTTGTCCGACTTGCAGTTCCCCACTGTACCATCCACCAAGTAGTGACGTTATTCGGTAATTTTATGATTTAATTAAATGATCGATGCATTTAATTCTAAAGGAGAAAAGGTCACATGTAATGCCCCTTGAATTATAAATCTACCAAATAACATGCTTAAAATATTCATAAGACATCAGTATTTTTATTTTTGAATATTGTCTTATTTTTTTGGCATATGAGCTAAGGCTTTATCCAAAAAGATATTCTACTATAAGATGTATTTTACAAAGTTAAGGTGTTTCTGCAATAAAGTCTCCAGATTATATTAACTTTATTATGTATCAATAAGATTACCATATTTTTGGAAGTCTTATATATATAATTTAACCTTTTCTGAAATTTGGGGGGCAAAGCATAATGGCTCTAATCTTACATCCTACTTTGTACTTAATAAATTATCTATTTGTACTTAAATTAACTAAAGGTTAAAACTTCTCTAGGAATAGTTTACGTTGAATGAGTTCGAGCGTTCTGTTAAGGCCCTTTTTATGCTCTTAACTGTTTTATGTATACATGTATGACCTCTCAAATCTTTGACTCAATCGTACCAGATGAAAGTTCTTCCAGAAAAAGCGGTAGTGTACTTACTTGTTATTTAGGATTTTCCTATTTACAGACAACTTAAGTTTACTGACTTACTTTGATTGTCCCCTGGTCCCTAGTCTCCGAGTAGTAATTTGTGGAAACTGTTGTCGAATGATCTAAAGAGCAAAAAATAGTTTTGCAATACAGAACATTCATTATGATTTTAATATGACGACGCATATGGAATTATGAAATAATATCAACAGAATTCATTTCAAACAGTTCAACAAGTCATAATGAAAAATCCGATTCCTTATTGATATAATAATTCAGCCATATTATTAACTTTATTATTCCAAGGTTTAAACTATAATATTACAAGAAATGTACTATTAATGTAGTTTGAAAAAAAACGGGTATCGTGACATAATTTTTGTATTTTCTATTGAGTTAGCAATTTATAAGTTCTCTCTCCTGAAATCTGTTTTCAGAATTTTACCACTTAGATTTTTTTCCAGTGAAACAATTAATTTTTTGTTCGTGTATGATCCTTAAAAACGAGCACGGTGACTTTGGCTTTTCATTTCATTATATTTTTTTATCTTATGTGTATTTTTTGTCGTTTATTTTGCTATGCAACTCTTAGTTTGCTACAACATTTACTAGTATACAAGTAATAGATTTTTTAAGTTCCAGTTTAACAGATCTAAGAAACCAAGTCTAGAAGCCTGATTTTTTTACAAGCATACGGTATATTTGACTGGCCGCTCGTTTTAAATTCATCAAGCATTGAATTAGTTAAATTGTATAGTGCTTACCTTGCCAAAGCTAGCAGCATTAACAGGTTGTGTATCATTTGCCTCACAATAATCCAGATAGTGATAATACAATGTACTTCGTGGAATACAAACTCCTTCTGCTATCTCGTAATTCTCTTCCAACCTAAAATGTTAGCACTTAGTAGCTATAATTCGTTTCCATTATTCTCTATGTATATTTCTCCGATTTTCTATTTTCACATTGAATAAACACAGTATAGAAGCTGTGTAACTTCATTAAGTCACACAAATCGTAGAATATCACTACATTGTACACCGCAATGTGAAATAACATTTCATAATGGACATTTTTACAGTGTACAGTTAGGTTAGCAGAAACCAAAACAAATAAAAAAAAAAACGGCGAACTATGCCGCAGGCAAGATCATGGGACAAGGAAAACAACTTCTGATTGTTTATTCAAAGACATAGGTTTTGCTCATTGTTGATAACCACACTGTTTAATATGTAGAACCGACCTTTGACATTTGTTGGATAGTTGGATCATTTGCAAATTATCCAATATAATGTAACATAATGGTTAAATTCATAATCACAATAAATAATAGTGAAACAAAATATAGTCTTTAAGATTAGTTTCCCGGGCACGTTAACAAACACCCGAAAGTTTAAATGGAATATAGATATATGGCATAGATGCTTGAGGTACGTTTAGGTGTGCGAGATGTATAAATACGTAGTTGCATCCGATGCTTCATTTAAGTAAAATACCACGCTCTCATGTACATAAAAAATCCTTGCATTACCTCTATTGGGGATCCGTCGGTGGCCTGTTTCAAGGCAAACTGTTTGTCCCTATCCAACAGACCCTACTTTTTCAGTGATAGTCGAAATCCCAACATTTATCCCAGTCGTTCAACAATACAGAATACACCTATTAGCATTATTGTTAATTTGTTCTCGTCCTTAATATGCGTGAAATATTTTCCACTGGACGTTACGCAAACAACAATCAATCAAAAAATCATGTTCACTTGTCTCACGATCCATCTTAGTAGAAAAAAAAATATTACTTTGTTCCAATTTGTCTTATAATTGAAGAAGTACAGAAAACTGGTAGAACAAGAATCGAAATAGCTGACAAAGCATAAAAAGTAATATAAATCGGACTAACGGTTAAAACATTATTCGTTCAAATTATTAAGTTTTCAACTTGTTACTTGTATTCCTTCAGAAAAAAAAACACATTAAAGACAACAACACCAGAAAATTTCCGCAAGGTGATTATTTTATCTATTCCTTCAGAGAGTATAATTACCAATCAATAAAACATTTCATAACATATAAAGCATAATTCTTAATAAAAAAAAATAATTCACATTATATTACTTACCATTTTAGAGTCAGAGGTGTAGAGTGAGGTTTAGATGCCGACCGTAGTTTAGTATAAGTTGCTGAAATATTTGTAAAAACAAAAACATGAAGGAGCTTCTAATTGTTTTGTTCCAACATTTAAAGAATATGTGTGTAAGAATAAATAAAATTCCAAAATTCTTATTACTTAATATTTCCAAGTATACAAGTAAATGAAGAAAAAACACTTAAAAATCGTTTGATCAAAAAATCACTTATCAATTTCTGACAAATTAGAGATAAAAGTGCATTTCCTAACAAAAAAATGCTTTTAATTTGAAAAGATTAAGAACAGGCGTGTAATTATTCTTTACATGAAAGGCGTGGCTATATACACATTTACCTGATATACTAAGTATTTTTATAACACACCAGACTAAACCTTCCAATAGAATAAAAAAGCTTACCTGATTTTGATTCATCATCCTCTTCACAAAATCTTGTTCCGATATTCTCACTTAGATCTTGGCGCTTGCGTCCTCCGTCTATGCATCTATCAAACCAATCTTTAAAAATACATATATGTGGATATAGCTTTAAACTTCAAATTCAAGATATGAACAAACAAAACCAAAGTTTGCATTAAAATATGCAGTGAATCTTCAACAATTTTTTTAAATTTTAATATAATGTGTACTAACTAGGTGTCAATAAAGGCAATAGTAGTATACCGCTGTTCAATAGTCATAAATCGATTTAACTGAAACAAATCCGGGTCACAAATCAAAACTGAGGAAACACATCAACTATAAGAGGAAACAAAACGGAACAACAGAAACACTTACAATTAAATATTTGGCTTTTCAAAATAATGTTGGTTCTTAACACTTCTGATAAAGGTTAATTCAGAAAAGCGTTTTCATATTTATTATTATTTCAGACGTTTCGTTTTGTGTGATGGTTTTGTTGATTTTTCTTCGATTTTTATTTTCCCTTTGGTATATTCCTTCTGCCTCTTTGTACATGTACCACAGGGTCAAAACCACTGTTAGTCACATTTATTTACGATAACGACTTTGGTGCACATGATGTTCGTTTTAGGTATAAAAAAAAACCAGATGTAGTGTAAACTACGACTAACTGAAGTTTACCCCTACTCGTGCTTTTGAGAGAAAACAAAAAACTATCTATGAAGGTCTGGATGGGGTCCTTCATTTCTTTATTCCTTAACTTTATACCATTTTTCTCTATTCTTTATTTATTTTGACTATTATTCTCTATTTTTTTTTATTTCAGCATTATTATCTATTCTTTGCTTACCAATTTGAAGAATAGTACCAAAAATCAAGAAGCTCTAACTTATAGTTGCAGAGAATATTCCGACAGAAATCGTAGAATTATAAACATGTGCTATCAATTCCAAGGGTACGACATGACTTCATTGGGTATCCAGTAGTCGGCGATTAAGCACTGTCACGATTTAATACTTAATTGGCATGGCATAATATACATTTTTTTTTCAAATTAAAACAACAAAACAGTGTATAAGAATTAAGACATACAGGTAACGGTATATAGGCTTCAACAATGGTCTGACTCTTAGAACAATATAATAAAAACTAAAAAAAAACAATGTGGAATAAAAACTCGTCAGACAATGAAATATTGAAATATTCTAAACATTTCCTTAGTCAATATTTTATAATGTCACCAGTAACCTTCTTTATATAGGCACTAAAATACTCCACGAGAATAAAAAAAATGGTCACCTTGATTTCTCACGTTTATCAGCAAGACCCGAACTCTTTGGTCGCCTTTTTAAGTGCTCCTGATGTTTCAAAATGCAGCTTTTTTAGTAAGAATATGAACGGATAATCCTATGTCCCATTTTCTAGTGGGTTGCACACAAATTACACGCAAATGAATATTAATAATACCTCTTTGAGAGGTCCATATGTGTCCTATCACAATGTCAAATTCCTGCCTCTACCCAAAATATCCTTTTATAAGTGTCATTCCAAATTTTAATTTCGCAGAATAAACCAATCTAATGTATTGTTAAATATTATCTCGTCATGAATATGTATGGAAATATTTGTCACTGGACGTTTACCAAATAATAATCATAAAAAGTATTAACAAAAATACCAAAATCCAAATTAAATTCAAAGAGGGGAAATCTATAAAAACTAACAAAATCAAACGTTTGACTTTATCAACCAACGGAACAAATGGAAAACAACTGTCATATTCCCGACTTTGTACAGACATTTTTCCGAAGAAAATGGTGGGTTAAACCTGGTTTTATAGCTAGCTTTTCATCATTAAAAAATGCTCCTAACATCAGACAGACTAGTGGAAATACTATAGTTTTATGATCACTCATTTGATCTTGTTCAGTGGTAAGGTAAATGGAAACATGAGGTTACTACTTAAAAGGTCGTTACTTTAATTTGAATGTGACTTTACTTTTGTAATAACAGCAAAAGAAATATGAACCGAAACGAAGAAGCAGAAAATTAGTGATTCGGTAATTCTTTAGTGTTAGGTCATGTATTTGTAGTTTTAACAATTTTAGATTTTGAACATAATTTGAAACATTAATTTTGTGTGAATAATTTCCAGTATTTGTTCTTTCTCATTAGTGTCGTCTTCTTAATATTCTTGTAACAACGAAATGACACTATTGTGAAGTGTGTTTAAACATTTGATGCAATAATTGAATATTTCGTCTCTCGAATTAAAAAGAATAAAAAAATGATTAATTCTTTCTTTTTCTGCGAACAAAATTAATTTAAGTTTTATCCGAATATATTAAACCTTACTAGAATGAATATAAATATAAATATTTTCAAGTATGGATTTATATTTAATCAGAAGTTGTTTTCTTCACAGAAATTCTTGACCAAGTCCCAATAGAAAGTTTACTGGGTGGACAATTACCATGGAGAGTACAACCACGGGGATATTCAGTTGATGTGTGCCTGTGTTAATTCTCGTGGATGAAAACCCAGGGCCAGTATGCATAAAGCTACTTAAGTTAAAATTTGTTCCGAACGGACAGATTTTTCTACATGTCCTACGATAAATTAGTATTACGATTGGATATCTTAACTTATACGGGCCCTTGTATCTATGTATGTTTGAGTTATAAATTTTTATTAATTCATTTGTATGAGGGAGAACTTGCAGATGATTATATATACACGTATGGTAGAGAAGTCCGTGCACCTTCATCTGATACTCTCTAGAATAGAAGTGGGGAACTGAGTCCTATAATGAATTTCAACAAGAAAAGTTTGGTATTTGAATGGCTTACTTGTATGGTTGTACATACTACACAGAAATTTCGATGACAACATTGATGTTATGAAAACTAACTCAAACGCGATACACATATGGCAGGTTCACTATAAAAATACCTTAAATGTCTGTTTTACTCTTTTCAATGCGTATGTCTTTAGTTGTCCATTTTCTTTATGGAAATTGTATGATTTGTTGAAAATTATTGTTAGTTCATATTCAACTATATTAGTTAATTTGATACATGAAGGGTTATTTCACAACAAAATAAACAACAGTATATTAGAGGAATAGTAAGTTAATTTCAATTCAGAAAGTATCCAAATGAATGGTAGTTATTTAATTTGTTTTAATTTATGTGAGCAAGAAAAAAAGTACATATTTTCCGTATGATTTTATTTAATCTTCGAAAAGGGTAAAGGCATTACGAACGACACATGAACACATGAAAAAGAAACTATTCATTGTCAGTAATCGTCCGAATGTTATTACACTTTTATGTCTATTATTAAAGTTTAATTTATGCAACTGAATTGTATCTTAAACCTAACAATAAAACCGATAGTAGAATCTACGCACGGTGTTCGGCAGTTTCCCAGGATTAAAGATACAATACTTAAAATCATATTAGTGCACGTAAACGTCCCAAATCACTTTACAATGACGGCACTCAAGACGTGGCTTCACAATATAATACTTGTCAAAATATAAACATTTTCATGGCAAATTTACTTTGTATTGAATGTATCATAGGAAGTAATCGAGATCACCCGGACAACTGGGTGGAAACAGACAAATATTTCCCCTTATAAAACATTTCATGTTCTCCAGGTCAAACAACAAAAACATTCATCTTTGTGTTTTGATTCATACTGGAAAAAAAGTTTTAACTTGTGAGATATATGTTCGGTGAATCTAGTCCATTTTGATTTATTTGGAATGCATATTTTAACGAATTCCTACTAATATGTGAAAAGATTTTGTATTTTATTATAATTGATTGTCCACTCCAAAATATATTTGTTGTTTCCGAAATATTTTTTTTATAAATTTGCATATGAAAACATAAGCAGAGTCAAATATGCATTCTTATTAAAAAATTAAAATAAAGGCCTAAATATGCAAATATATGTAGATAGAAGTCAGCTGAGAGAGAGAGAGAGTGTGTGCAAATATATGTAAATAGAAGTCAGCTGAGAGAGAGAGAGAGAGACTTAATAATCCCTGGAGTACAATACGTAGCAATATATTGTAAAAAAATATGTGTATCATTATGTAGCTGGAATAAACAGACTTATTTAACCAATGGTAAAATGTGTGAAAATCTACTCAAAACCAAGAGCGATTATCATTTATGAATTGAAAATTATAGTTAAGAGCACAGGTTGTATATTTTCATAATTAAAAGCAAATAAAACGCCTAAATGTGCAAATATATGTAGATAGAAGCCAGGAGAGAGAGAGATAGATAGATACATGTAGAGAGATCGAGAGACTTAATAATCCCTGGTGTACAATAAGTAGCAATATATTGTAAAATGATATGTGTGTATCATCATGTAGCTGAAATAAACAGACTTACTGTTTAGTTAGTCAATGGTAAAATGTGTGAAAATCTTCTAGAAACCAAGACCGATTATCATTTATGAAAAGAAAATTTTAGTTAAGAGCACGGATTGTACGTTTTATTAATTAAAAACAAACAAAAGATATGATTTAACGAGAAATGTTTCTCAAATGCAGTCAACATTAATATAATAACGGTTGTGACGACAACAAAAAAAAACAATTTAAATTATACGGTACATTCTTCTATGTTTTTAAAACAATTGATTACAATAAATTGAACGAAATTGTATCTACATCTGATAAATTTTTAATTTTTAACATTTTTCATTGAAGATAACAGCAAAACGATTAAATTACATATTCTTTATAAACTGAGTACATTTGGTCTATTTTCTAAGTCATTGGCCTGATTTCCGATTGATAAGAGACCAGACATATTCATTGCCTACATGCCGTAAAATTTAAATTACACTAATTCTTAATTACTAAACGAGATGCTTAAAACTCAAAATGGAAAGTGTTTTAGACCTTAGATTTTTTTTAATTTGATTAACATTTTTAATACCATCACAAAAAAGTCAATGTAAAAATGTAAAGTTTCTAACCTTACAATTGCCTAATGATATAAAAAAAATGACATTTCTCGGTTAAATGATTAATACCTTAAATTTAAACTCTCGTGTAAAGCACCACG